AGGGAAATCATGAGTCTATTCAAATGAAAACCATCGCAATAAATCATAGAATTAAGATAACCGAAATTTAATCATTTTTCATTACAAATTGGAATCGACTGAGTTCCTCGTTACTCACCATCCATTATAAGCTGGAAACTCTTGTCAAACCATCGGTTGCTAGCATCATCTCCAATAAGAAGTGATTGAATCAGTCTGGAAATTGGCTACTTTTTAAAAATTTAAAGATAAAAAAGATAGCTAACTACACATGCACTTCAACGATTCTACCGAAAAGAATACCTTGTAGGTTCTTGTGACTTCAAGTCGTCTAGGCACAGAGTAAAGAGAGCGCCATCAACTAGTCGAAAATTCTGGGCATTATCGGCTTCCAACATTTCATCACGAACCTTCGCCCATGTGTCACGATCCAAACTGGTCAGGGAACCTTGATAAGGTATTTTAATAATCAGGAAATGAAGGTTCCATGGCAGAAACTTGTGAGCTGCACCAGCTTGTGTGCTTTGGTGCATTTTCATTAATAAATGAAAATGATCGTGAGCAAATAGGAAACAGAAGATTACCCAAAGCTGAACGCGAGTACTACTAACATAAATTAATGGTCATTTCAAAGATTGTCCTTCTTATTTATAATTATTCATTTGAAAAACGTGCCCGAGGTCAGAAAAGGGGAATACGGTGAAGTATTTGTCGGAGTCGTCTGAGTCCCAGCCGGTAACGTCTTTTTTTCTACACAACTTTGCACGTTAATCTCTTGAAAGCGCTTGAGGAAATGTAGAGGCCATATACGCAATGAGAAGTAACTAGAAAATTTTAGTCAAATGATGAATGCCAGAGAAACGAAAGGTAGCAAGAAAGAAAGTGCATATAAAAGTTTGAAAAAGGGAAAATGCCAGAAAAACACAACAATCAAATCGCCGTAATCAATAGGATTAAAAGAAAAGAGAACAGTGAATCTGTTCCGCTTCCCATATGACAACAGAATTTCATATAAAATTAGCTTTTGAACGCAAAGGGCACTTACCGACACATTTATCGGCATCTTGCGGTTTTGCATTATGGAGGATATAGGCCAATGAATTATGCACACAATCAGCAGGCAGTACATTACCTAAAACAAAGGAGGATTTAGTTGTGATAAAAAACAATTTATCTTATACAGATTAATAAAACAAAGGCAATATCCCTCCTTAAATTAGTCAAAAATTAGTTAATATACTTAACATAATTAGAATATAAACATTAACTGAAAAATATCCTGACCTTTATCATCAAATATGTCTACCGCATATATTCTACCGCGACACATAACCATGAAGTGTTTTTGTGTCGTGTCCTATAAATATTAAGCGCGAATGTTTAGACAGAAACACGCTAGTTGACAAAGGGTTCACACCTGATACAGAACATCTTTATCCTTTTTTGGAATACGGGTTCCATTGAACAAGGATTTGTACTGACTCATGTCAAGAGGGAAAGCCTTGAATGCTACGGCTCCGTACCAAGAAAGACTCGCTGGAAGTGATCTGAATGCGATCCTTTCATTCAAATGGGCACTGTTGGAAAGTTTCACAGCCATCACTCGAAAAGGTAAAGTAGTACTAAAACGACATTATTTCAGACCCACTTGCAAACGTTTCGGAACAGTTTCGTGTCGCTCTTCTTAGGGTTAAGATGGAACACCTCGGGAGCTAAAACATTGGCATCCAGAGCACGCCTAAACCGAGCGAAAGAGATGGCAAAGTTCGTCGCACGCGATACCTGAAACGAACGAGGTGGTTGTAGAGAAATAAATCGAAAACTCTACAAGTAAAGGCCCCAAGAAAACAAACCTG